AATTAAGTGGTCTCCCAGTGGTCAGACTGTTAACTAACACTATTACATTGAAATACTAAAAAGACTTCGTGAAAAAATTAGGAAAAAAAGGCCACAGTTGTGAAGCGATGGATGGCTGTTGCTCCGGGACAAAGCACCCGCTCACACGGCACTATCTGTCAAGCAGTTTCTGACCAGCAAAATTATTATTGTGATAGGGAATCCTCCTTATTCGCCTGATTTGGCTTCATGCGACTTTTTTTTATTTCCTAAAGTTAAATTTTGCTTCTTATTAAATTTTGCTTAAAGGGAACCCATTTCACCTCAGTTGAAGAGGTTCAGGCAAAAACGGAGAATCGTCCGAAAGGACTTCCAAAAACCTCGTTCCAGAATTGTTACCAGCAATAGCAGCGCCGAATGCATAAGTGTGTGAATGCTGAAGGGGACTACTTTGAAGGTGATAATGTCACGGAGAACTGATTTTGCAGATACAATGATTTATTGGACTAGTCTCGTCCACTTTTGTGTCACACCTTGTATTTACCTAGAGTGATATCCAACAGCCAAAATAATGTCGCGCGATCGATTGGTGTACACCAAAAGCACAACTTCAATTTCGTGCGTGAATTCTCGCACACGTTTGCAAGTTCGGTAGAGAATCTGTATGTGTTCGTGGAATATATGAGCATCGTCTGACAGTCGAAGACAGAGAACACGTGGAAACCTATGTTCGATGTCTCAATGAATAAAGACGTCGTTGCTGAAGCGTCAACACCCACGTCCATTGTCGCTCGACGAGTACATTGTTGTCGACTTGCCTCGAATCTTCGAGGAACACGATTCGAACTCATTTAGGGAACCCGAGTCTGCATACTGTCAACGTGCTTGTGAATATCGTGCAACTTGATCTCTGTTAGGTGTATCACGTTGCTGTAACTTGTAAAACTTTAAATCAGATTTACGCACACCCTCAAACTAGCCAACAACAGCTTCTCTCGCGAAATTAACTGTAATTAAAGGGTATTTTTATCGTGGCAGAACAATTCACTGCGGTGAATTCAATGTGATTTATCTTCCTGAAATAACGAAGATATATTTTCGGCAACTTTTAGTAAGCCTGCATACTTATTGCAAGATAGTAAGTACCTACTGAGATCTGTGAAACACAGTGGCTAATGTTGGAAACAAGTTTTCTAATAGCCTTATTGTTACCTTATTAACAAAAAGAAAGAAAGTTATGGATCTTTAACTCCTTGTCATTCCTCGACAAATTAGAGTAGTGAATTACAGTTCAAATGTGATGATTCTTACTCGAATTTTTAATACGCATCAATTTGAAGTTTGAGACAAATTATAATTTGTATAGTCAAAGTTCGTTAAATGTAAAGCATGATATTTTAATTTTGCTTGCTCTAAAACTATTATAACTGCAAATTAGCTAGTCATTCCGATTGATGTAACTAATAAATAAATCATACGGTGAGGGATTTAATTTAGTGATCTTTATAGTACTGTCAATGTCCACTCAAATCTTATTTCTCTACAGAAAATATGAGACTCACATTCGCAAGAGATTTTCCACTCATTGACCTCTAGTGATTCTTGAGAATTTAAAAATTTGGAGATGAGTTCCGAATGTGGGAATCTTGAAATTTTTAGGTATAGGAATTTGAGGACTTAGAAATTTGGAGACGTAGCAATTTGATAATCTTGGAATTTACGACATCTAAGAGTTTGAGGGCATAGGAATTACAGGGCATAAATATTGGGCACTTTACAATTTGGAAATATAGAGATTTAAGGGTCTAGGAATTTGAGAATTTTAGTATTTGGGGAACTTAAGACTTTGGAATCTAGAAATTTAAAGATTTGGAAATTAGTTATATAGTTATATCGGAACTTTAAAATTTGGAAATGTAGAGATTTAGGAACTTGGAAATTTGAAAATGTAGAGATTTAGAAAAACTTGAAAATTTGTAAATTGTTGAAAACTAAAATTAGATAATTAATAAATTTAGAGATTTTTGCATTTTTTATTTTCAAGTTTATACGTATATGTCCCCTCGTTTAGATCAAATCAATATTGCATTCGAATATAATATTAAAGTACTATATGTTTTAGTTTAGTGTACTATGTTCAATTACAAAAAGTCGCCGGGTATACAAACCAAAATAATTCTACAATTTTCATGCATGTTTGAATATGAAACTATTGAAACTTTTGAGTATGAAACTATTTATGAAAATCGATGACTGTAGTTAACGTCGCTTCTTCTTTATCCTTCAATCTACGATTTATAGAAGATTCAAGGATATCAAGTATATTAAATGGCGCCTAGTTTTCACTTCTGGTTAAGTTTATTCATATTTATTTCGGCCACGATAAAGTACGTAACTGATCTGCTCCTATGAAGGATGCAGTTAATTACACATCGCGCAACAACCACCACACAAAACCGACAAGTTTCAGTTTAAAAAAATCAACAGAAGTATATGCTTGCCTGAACAAGGGATACGTTGGGGATCGTTGGCTATTCGCATTCCTAATAGCTATTAAAGGACGACGTGATTCACCGCTTTATCTTTAAATTATACAGGGTTATTCGAAATTAATATCGATATTATGAATACTTTCGTAACCATTACAAAAATTCTAATAATATGTTAACTTCTTATTCACTATAATTCAACGTTTGTAAAAACGTTCTACACAAAATATTAAAAACCCTACGTTCATAACCTATCTAAACAACTTATTCTAAACGACTTAAAGGTGAAATATTTTTTATTAAAATTTTGAAATAATTTATTAATTATTGATTTTTTGATTCTGTATAACACTTGCATACACACGGTATTCTACAGGTGTCGATTCGGTAGAATCAGAATTCTATAGGAACAGGTATGTAAATTCTTACACTACATTTAAAAATACGAGAGTTTATCGAACGAAAGCATTTTATTTCTTCATGTTTTGCACTTTTCAAGATATCACAAAGTGATCTTAAATTTCTTAACACTCATAACACCGTTCAGATTAAATTAATTCAAAATACAATATTTCGTCATTTCTTAACCCCGTATTACTCGTGTTCGGTGTACAATACCATAAATTCGCTTCGTTAAATTGCTTCAATTGCAGCAAAGAATTTTATATAAGTTCTTAATTAAAACGGAAAGATAAAGAACGAAGTATAAAGGTGCGTAAAGTAATTTAGAACATTATTGAAAGAGAAAGTTTCTCGTCTTTATCGTTCAACCAGTTGCATTGCAACTTGCGTTACTTATTACTTAGCGTTCACCTTGTACAGTAATTGGAGATAATAAAATTATCCTTACGATTAAAACCGATTATAATTTTTAAAATCAATCGCATAAATTGCTACAAAACATATAAATGACAAGTAGGCTGGGACTACCAGTTTCAGACCAACCTTGAAGAATTAAACTGCAATATTTATGAAACATCGACTACAAAAATAAAATACTATCGAAATCTAAAAAGTTACAACGACCGATTACAATTTTATTCAATGAGAACAATAAATACAACTACTGTGTAACACCCGGTTGCAAATATTTGCGACTCCGAAATTTACTGCAATGGCGAAAATTCATTACTGAATGTCCGACGAATTAAGGTCTTCTGAACGGTGTAATATGATCCGCTATAAAGCACACTCTTTACAACCGAAATTAACAGAAAAGTATGTATTAGTCGTATAATATTTTTAAGTTCAATATTTTTTGTTGCGTATAGAATGCGAATGTTTATGTAAATACATAGAATATTTTCTTTTTTAAGCTTATTTTATTTGTCATATTAAACACATTTTGCAGATTCCAAATATATTATATTGATATCGTATATAATTTGCATGTCTGAAGTCTAGAGCCAGTGTATATTAAGTTCGCTTTTTTTAAATGTATTTTGCATATTTCCTGTTCGAAACTTTTCACTCTTACCGATAGTAAATTTATTTAATTCTAATGCGTCTAATTTTCAATAATAATAGTGTAAAAATGATATGTCCACATCTGTCTCTAAGCTTTTTGCACCTTTGATTTACTCTCCAATAAAATTTGAAAGGAGTGAATTGAATCAAGACGTGGGATCGAAATATGCTTTGTATATTTTCATGTGTCAGAAGTGCATAAATATCTGCATTCTACGAGTTTTCATATGTTATTTTAATTCAGAGATCGGCAACCTTGCCCGCGGCCCTTTGCAACTTTTTGTGCGGCCCGCCAAAGCACCAATATAATTTTAGGAAAAATCAACAAACTTAAAGCGTGAGCGTGCCGAAATGTGGCCGGTGACAAAAATGCGCGCTAACAGAAGCATATTGGGAAACCTATTTTACTGCGCAAGTTTAGTCCCCACTTCCCAGCGAATACGACGCGACGCGACGGTTCGCTTAACAAGTGTAGCATTTTTTCATTTCACCAGTTTGCTACTGTATGTTCATATGTGCATTTTGCACGTAAACACGTTCATATTGACAACCGTATGACGTTTCACTACAATAGGTAATGAGAAATACATGTTATTTTTAATTTATTTATACTCGTATATGATATAAAAGCACTATTTAAGTTACATTTGAATGTGCGGCCCGCATAAAAAATTTTATTTTGAAAATAGCCCGCCATCCGAAAAAGGTTGCCGACCCCTGTTTTAATTCATTAACTTGCATACAGTGTAAAGAAAGCATACGATCCTTATCAAGGATACGTTACCTATTTCCAATTTACACTTTCATACTCACAGTATTTTTACCCATTTCAATAATACTAATGCAAAAGAATATACTGTATAAAAACTATAGAATGTAATGTTCTTGCCTTCTGTGTTATTTGATAATTACAGAACAGTCTATTATCGTTGGTTTAAAAAACCAGTCTTACATTAAAGGTTGCATTACTATTTATCATTTAGCTTCTCGGTGCAACTAAACAACATAAACAGCAAGAAAGTTGAAATTAAGTGCTAAAAATAGTCAGAGTACTACGGAATAGTTTGTTCAGAAAGCAACAAAGATTGTATTCAGTTTCTAAGGTGCCAAAAATGAACACACGAGCCTTATGTTGATATCTCTGCATATTCTGACGATTATAACATATTATTGCAAATTTAATTGAAGTCATTCTAAGTTATGTCAATTTTTGTTATGTCTGGTAATAGGAGCTATCTATTTAATGTGAAATAAACACATACTTTTTTTCCAATTCATTTCAAGGAAACCTTAAATGTCCGATAACAAGGAAATGCTGTTTACATATTAAGAATGAAGCCTTCCTTAACATGTAATTTGATTCTATATTTGCCTACTTTAGAATATTGAAAATGTTACCTTTATTGTAAAAATAAAAAATTAAGAAAGGGATTTTATAGTACTTACTTCCTCACCACATCCATTGTGGGTATTTCTCTCCCACGTACCATAATTTTTTCAAATTTGACGCCAGAGTTTGTGAATTCCTGTAACAAAATAATAATAGAAATAAGTGCTACTTACAAATAATTTATAACAATATGACAGATACAATTTACATATAATTATATTTCATTAAAAAAACAAAAAATCTGTCGTATTAGATATCATAAAAATAACAAAAAGTAGCATTTCTAGCATATTAATTTAAAACTTACAATTTTATGAAAATAACTATATAAATATTTGATCAATATTCGTAGCACAAAATGATGAATTTATATTCGTTCAAACAAATAAGAGCTTAGTATTATTTTTCAGTATTTTAGTATCGTTTTTAGTATTCTTCTTCAATATTTGTTGTCGCATAATCTGTTGATATTAAAAACTGTTGAAGAATTTTTGTTTTAAAGTTTACTATTTGATCGCTGCTTAATATATATAATTATTTAATTATTACTGAAAATCATAATATTAATACCACTATATATAACATTCAGCAATTATTTTAATATTAAAACTAATATTACTTATTAATATATCTATGTTGTACGTGCAAGAATTATTCTGAAAATTGATTATATTATACATGATACATCATTATTAGATCATTAATATATGACATTACATATGTTAAACTATATTTCTTAATACATGAAATTGTTAAATGACTGTGTTCTGATTATTATCCTCTTTCAAACATAATTCAAATTACAATAACCAACAGTTTTTTTTGTTGAATAAATTGAAATATCGAAAATACTATTGAAATATTATGTAACATTATAACATGTTGCAACTCATGTTAATAACACTTTATAATATCCTCTGGGTTCCATTGTTAATGCTTTCAAGATCTTTAAAATTTCTACTATTATCAAGAAACATGCGTTTTGTATATTTTTCAGAACACTATGTGTACAAAATAAATAAATTACGTATATACAAAATTTGATAAATTCCAATGATAGAATTCTATAATAATAATTATTGAAAAGCGAAGAAAAACCATTGTGGAGTAAAACAGGTTAATCAATAACGTATGTAACGTTATTAACGAAATTATTATATAATACAATAAATGTTTTAATCAGAATTCTAGTCGTGACAAATACACGACGATTTCGAGCTATCTTGATGAAATGATAGTCACTGTTAAGGAAGCCTGGTTGGTTATATTAAACCAATTATATCTGACTGATCGTTGAACATGACACTGACAACGACGGTACGCATTCTTCGTTTATTTCTCACCCATACCAACGATCCCATAAAAATAAAAAATGAAGAAAAGGACTCGCGTTTCGCCACGGCCTCATTTTATCGAGATTTCACTCTTCGCGCCCTATTTTTCCACAGTGATCGTTAGCTACAGATTACAGTAATTTCAATTTATTGTGGTTCAACAATTATTGTTCCAGCTCTTTTATGTTTTCATTTGAGAACAAAGTATGTTGTATTAAACAATTTAATTGATTTGACTTCGTATAATAAATATTAGGGGAATCGTAATGTCCTTTCTGCGTATGGCAATTATTTGACTGTCATTTATCAGCTCTTTGCGTATTTTAATGTTGTGCCAAAGACGTTCCAATATAAAAGTGATTTTTTCACTTGTAAATTATTAAATCTTCAACATTTCTTTGTAATTTTATATAAAATGGCTAGTCGACTGAAGGGATACATATCCAGCATTGTATACTGAGTTTTACAAGGGAAGTAGTGGAACTGTTGCTACCAAAACTTTTGTGATGTTCATCAAACTGTGTTAGATGTTCGTAAATGCTAAGGGTAGTTTTCTATTTATTTCGATCGCTATCAACACTCTCTAAGTGACAAAGAATTTGAAAATTTTGATAATATCCAAAATGCCATCTTCAGTGTTTGCTCAAAAACTAAATGATTTTTATTAGTCCTTGTATTCAAAAATTTTTCCACTAGATGGCAAAAGATTGTTGATAACGAGGATGATTACATCGTTGATTGAAAATAAACTTGTTTAAAATTTATATTTTAATACTTGTATTTAATATTAATACTTATTTATAATTTATTAGATTGAATTTAATGTAAAAGACATTACTTTCTGCCCCCTCCCCCCAATAATAAGTACACCTGTGATGAAATAACTGAAGATTTTATATTGCATAAATTAATAGATCAGGTGTTTAACAATTTGAAAAGTATGCTTTGAATGTTCATTAAAAAATTAGGAAAAAAATTTATTTTTAATAATAAGATGTGTCCAAAGTAATTTTTACTCTTTTATTTGCTAATCTTACAAATTGTTATTTTCTTTAAGTAGAAGTACTAATTAGTTCAAATTAGTATTAAGGTACTAAACTCTTTAGCTAGTAGAAATTTGCTAAGATTGTTTGTTATAATTGTAAAAAATTGCAGTGTTTTATAGGGTAACAAAATACTTTTGTGAGTCACTGTACCATTTTGATAAAGGACTTATTTTGTAAAAAATATGTAAAAAGAGAAGTTATATTTTTGTAATTTGAACATAATATGGTTATCAAAGAAAAGTCTATAAAACAAGAATTAATTTATAGCTTTCAATGTCCATAAAATCAATGTTTGAAATAAAAGAACATTATAATGAAGTAATAAACTAATTTTATTTTAATAAAATAATTCACCTAAATTACGATAAAAAAATACATGAACTCAAATGCTCGATAAAAAATAATGATCGAAATACAAATTTAAATATACAGCGCATCTTTATAAAAATAAGTAATAAAATAACTAAAATAACTAAAAAAAAAGAAAATAAATGAAGTAAATAAATTTTATTATTTTTATTTAAATTGAAAATTTGTTGTATCATTAGAAGATATTAGTTGAAAATAGAGAATTCAATTATCCATTAATATTTTGATTCTTGATAGATTATCAACGTGTCAAATTTTTGAGTTATGAAGTTCCCAAACTTTCAAATTATCAAATTTGTGAATCTCCAAATTATGGAATTGTCAAATTTAAAAATTTGAAATTGTAGAATTATCAAATCTATAAATTCTAAAACTTTTTAACTTTCAAATTTTTAAATTTCCAAATATTCAGATTTACAAACCTTCCAATTTTTTAACTCAAAATCTCCTAGATTTGCAAAATAGTAAAACTTCTAATCCTCTAAAAATCCAAATAATCGCTCTAATTTCCAAACTACCAAATTTGTAAATATTGAGTTTATTAATTATCAAATATTCAGTTTACCAATTTAGAAATGACCAAATTTTTAAATATTCGGTCTACTAATTTCCAAATAAACAAAACCCAAACTCTCACACATACAAAATCTATAATTTCCAAATTCAAAACTTTCAAATTTCCACATTATTATGCTCCTAATTTCTTGAAATCAAAAATTTTTAATTTCTCAAATTTTCAGATTATCAAATTTAAAAAAATTATTGCTTTTAACAGCTTATTTATTACATTTTCATGAACTTACATAATATTACATATGTATTTAGGTATAAACCACAACGTGATACATATAAGATATTCGATAACAAAAATATTAAGAACACAATAAATTATCATGCCTATTTACATCAAATTTTAGGCTTGTTTGCACTCACATATCATAAATATTATTTCGATATACTTTTATATCATATTGTGTCAAATTTTATATACTTTAAAACTGATTATTATTTACTGTAATTGCCTAAAGTCTACAAATTATTTCACACTGAAAATAAAGCCTGAAACTAGTAATGAAATATCTGTTATTTTAAGATACTTACATGTCATTAAATCAGACATGACTATATCTCGAATATAACCAGATTATATGTTTTAGTATTCTACTTCATAGTACAGTGATAAACAGAATTTTTTATATTTACCAAATTACCAAAAATTTTAAGTAAATGCAACATGCAAACATGCAAAATTTCGCAAGGTGTATGTGTATTTTATTTTTATTTTGTTCTAACAACGTATATGTGTGCGGCTATTAATAGACCACCCAGTATATTTCAATTAGACGTGGGCGGCACCAGAATATTTCTGTGTTAATTATCGATGCCCTAATATTGATGCCGAAAGGCGTTGTCGTATGTTTCAAATATGTTCCCCCACAGATTGTAGTTTCTCTAGTGCCGCAAATGAATACCCGAGGGAAGAAAAAAGAACGTGAAACAACCGAGTACAACCTCGGTTCTAGAACTTATTAATATAATTGATCGGTCTTAGTTTGTGACAGGTCTGACCTAAAAAAATCTCGAGACACTCCCGCTTCGTAGACACCAAAACTCAGCGATCGAGTTGTCGCCAGACAACTATTCCAAAAATCTAATAATAAGTTCATTAGCCTTTACGGTCCCCTTTATACCCTTCACAAATTAGCTGGACCGATTTGAAGACTTTTAAACACCAAACAAAAGTCAGAACTAATTTAGACGTAATATTCTGTCCTTAAGGAAGAAATGGTCTATTAGGTTGTTAGGGAAGGAATAAAAGGTAAAAGAAAGAAAGAGAATAAAGACGATCAGCAGAGATAAGTGAAGACTGTGCAAAGGAGTTCCAGGCAGGCACGTTCCTGGATATCTGTCCAATCAAGGAATGTAGCTGGTGACAGTTTACTAAAGGGATGGAAAAGAATAGGTGTACCTTGTTTTCAGTTATTTTACGAAAGTACATGACAATTATGAGATAAGAAAGAACATGACAATTATGTACGAATTACAACATCTTTGTAAATATCATTGTTACAACAAATTAGAATTTGCAAACAATTTCATTTCCCTTATATTTTGTTATATTACGGAAGTAAATGTAACAATATACATGTATGTTGAAGTGAGGTTTGCTTCCCCTAGCGAGGCGTTCATGTTTTACACACACTTCCGTTTTACTTTTTCCTCACTGACATGCACGCTGTGTAACGGTTGTATACTAAAATGTATTATTGCGTTTACTTTATATCTTATAGTGTATCATTTATGTTTATCATTAGTGTTAATTTAATAAAAATTATAATTGCATAACAAAACCTTTCATATGTCAATTATGTACAAAGTATTGTCAAATACTTTCTTATGAATATCATTATGATGACAAAATTCACAGATAATATTTATGTCATTTTTCATCACCTTCATTGAATCAAGGAAGTACATGTATTATTATTTTTTCAAGTAAATAACAATACAAACCCAAAAATTTCCAAATTAACTGTTTAACGTATTATTCCAGATTCAAATCATATTCTAAATATCATGAGTTTATAAAGTAAATGAATAATAAATGAATACATGGTGGTGTATTGGTTATTCAAACACATAAAAATTTCTCAATTTTAAAAATCAATTCTCGAATTTGAAAAATTAAAAGTCTGACAATTTAAATATTTAAAAATTTCCAAATCCCCAAATTCCTTAATATTCTCATTCTTAAAATTCTGTAATTTTCAATTTTCCAAGTTCTCTAATTCAATTCCTAAGTGCCCTGATGAAAACATTCTCAAATAGCAAAAATTTTCCAAATTTTCAAATTCCAAAACTTAAAAATCTCTCAATTTTCAAATTCTCAAACTTCCATATTACACTTCTAAATTTCAAAATTAAAAATTTCCGAATCCCTAACTTTTAAAATTTTTTAATCCCTAATTGTCCCAAATTTCTAAAATATATAAACTCCCAAATTCCCAATTTCCAGGACTTCATCTTTAAAATATCTAATTCTCAAATTTCCAAATTATTAAATTTTTAAATTTCGAATTTCAAAAATCATAATTTCTCAATTTCCAAAATTCCTAAGTTTTCCAATTTTATTTTAAAATTGCCATCTCCCCAAATTTTCGAATTCTCAAACTTCTAAATTCCCAAATAAAAATTTTCAAGTTTCAAAAGTTGTAGATTTGAAATCTTCTTCGATCTGAATTCATAACTATCAAGTTTGAAAATACTTAGAATACACACCGATGGCGTTCTTTCACTTAAAACGACATTAAATACGATTTAATTTGAACTATATTTACTGATTTAATTGACGGTAATTTTGATTTCTACGATTTTCTGAAGGATCTATCTTCAGAGTAAATCGAAGGGTGTCTTTCACAAACAACTTACCTTTTCATCATAATAGCGATCTGTGTTTGTCAGGTCAATGACGTACTTGAGATGCGGAAACGCTTCCAACAATATTGATGTTGTAAATCTGTAACAATGGACAAACTCACATTAATAATTATCGAGTAAGAAGCAGTTAAATTTCAGTTTATACAGAGCGATTCAGTTATAGAGCAACCTAGTCATTACATGGATAACTAAACTTGCAATTAATAATTCTATAATACATATAACCATTCGAAAATATATCTCTGAAATATAGTTATTCGATTTTATAGATAACAAATTTTAAGTTTAGTTGCATAAATAATGAATTTTAACTTTGACAATTTTTATTTCAACTTTATAGAAAATAAAATTAATGAACATTTTAGAAAATGACGATACAATCAATCATTTTTAATACTTTTAATATTTCAAAACTTTAATACTGAAATACTTTTAGTATTTGTATTAATTAAAAATACGGTATGTTTTGTTTTGCTCAAGGTGGTCTAACCTTTTAGTAAATAAATATCCTTAAATGAGTTCAGACCTTAAATATTCGCATATATTCTGCTGAAGGAATGCGAAAAGTTCAGCGAAATTTGTTCTACTCGTCTAATAAATTTAACAGGTCAAGCTAGATGTTCGTTAATAGGTTTTAAATCGATTATTATTCCAATAAATTTTGGGTTCCCTTTTTGATTTGTTTTTAATAACTTCTCACCACGGACGGTGAGAGTTGTTTATTTATGAGAAATACTCGTTCGAAACAAAGCTGACCCATGCTAGCTTCTTAGAGGAGCACCTGGTATGATTCCTAAAAGAATTTGATATATCGAAAGGGATAGTGAAACTATTTCGGCTAACACCCCCGCCTAATTCCGGCCCTTTCGTTTGGGACCCCAGATTCTTGACTCCCCTAATATATTATCGCGTTGTCCAGATCACGTTCTCGAAAAAAAGGTCTTTTCTTAACAGTAAAACACCATGACAGTCCGTGGATTCTTTTGTGATCTCTACACCGTCCAATGGAGACAACGCATAACAGTGAAAAATTTTAAAACTACAGCAAAAGTCAAAACCTGTTTTAAATGAAAGCACAGAAGTAAATAAAAATTAATGTGCATTTACTTGATAATATACAGCGTGTCTCACGATCTTTGTCCACTTAAATATCTTGGTTATTCCAAACAATACGAAAAAATATTATGAACAAAAATTATATGGCTTAAGAAGCTGCATAATGCGATATAATAGATGTTCTTCTAAGTGGAGGCATAAACAAGATATAGAAGCCACTTTTGTTTTTTTCTTTTTTAATGGAGTGTTTCATTCCTTATGCTTGATTCCGATAGATTAGCAGATTCTGAATATACAGGGTGTTCGGCTACTGGTGGGCATAATTTTAGGGGGTGGTAGCTGGAGTGATGTGAACAACTTTTTCCTTTA